AATTGAATTATTATTTAATACCACTTTGAATTATAAATTTTTTTACATAATTTAGTTATACCAATTTAATTAACTTATTTTAGTTAACTTTTTTTTTGTCATATATGGTTTTTTATACTGATTTTCCTTATTCACTTTATATTGAATTATATTCATATAATAAAAAATATTTACTAAATAAAGAAATATATTAAATAATATAATATTATATATATTAAATATAATATATATATATATTAAATATAATATTCAATATCTATTTAAGATAAATATATTTAATAATGTATTATAATTATTTATTTAATTCTGTTTTATTATATTATTTATTATTTACTATATTTTCTATTTAAATAATAAATAATAAAATACATAAATATTAATATGGTAAATAATAATTAATAAATTGTAAAAATAAAATTCAATAAAACCATAAAATTTAATACATCTATTTATGTAATAAGCATTTATTTAATATATAAATAAAATTGAATTAAATTTTATCAGGTAAATTAGTATAAAAATTACATAAATTGATAGTATAAAAATGACAAAATTATGTAATGACGATTGTCAAAAGCGTCACTATAGTTACTAAAACAAACGACGACATTTATTTCGTTGTTGTAAAATTCATCATAATATGTATTAAATTGACGAATAAAGATGTACTTAATGTATGGTCACAAGACACAAGCACACAATGACGATTTACTCGAAAACGTCATTTTAAATACCGGCAAAAATGACGACAGGTATTTTGTCGTATTGTATTTCGTCATAAAAAGTATTACTTTGACGGATTTAGATGCATTGTAATGTATCGTCACAAGACACCATTACATAATGACAAATCACCCGTAAGCGTCATTTTAAATATCATAAAAACGACGGCATTTATTTTTTCACATTGCACTTCGTCATATTATATACTATTGTGACGAATTTAGATGTATTGTAATATATCGTCACAGTAAAAAATTTTATTACGACGCATTATTCAAAAGCGTCATCCTAAGAACCATTAACAACGACGATATTTATTTTGTCACATAGAATTTCGTCATATTTTATTTAAAGATGACGAACTTAGATGTATTGTCACGTAAATTATGAATATGTGACGAAAAACATATTCGATTGTGATGCAAGTAGTAGTCATCGCAGTATACAATAATGTAGTGACAATTTGTCAAATTCGTCACCATAAGACAATCAAAGGTGACGATTTTTTTTCGTCACACGAATTTCGTCACGATACATGCAATTTCTTGTAGTAAGGCATGAACACCCAATTTTGAGCCTCAGTTGTGCTATATTTTTGTCAACCAATAAGTTGTTTCTTGGACAAGTATTCTTCTTGACTTTTGTAGTGCTTTGAGTTAGGTTTATGTGGATTTTGGAATCTTGTTATTTGGATTTGAAATGGATTTTATATGAATTTTCAAAGGCAGACAGGCATGCAGTTTTTATAAATTTGGGCAGAAATTTTGACCTTAATTCATGGTTGTTTTGATGATCTTAACGTTCCTGAATGAAAATGTATTCTTTATGACAAATGTAGCATATGTTGTAAGCTGCCTGTGAGAGTAAGAATCATGAAATCTGGAGTTACAGTTGATTTAATATGATTTTTCTAAGTGGGATGTGCATCCAGTTATTGTGAAACCAGGACTGTGTTTAAGTGTTGAATATATTCTCTGTTTTGATGACCCAGAAGTGTTCGTATGAAAAAATTCTCTTTATAACAACTGTAGATTTCCATGTGTAGATTCTGTAGGTTTGAGTTTGTATGAATTGGAGTTGTGTAGCTTGATTTGTTGCCATATTACTAAGGTGATGTATATTCAAAAAGTTGTTCGTTGTTTCTGTTGTACCTCAGTTTAATCCATCAGAGACCGATTATTTGAAGTTGCTTTCTGCTTATGAAATGTAGTTTGTTTAGTTTTCTGTATCTGGGCTTTGGAATTTCGTAATTTCGAGCTATATCGAATAAGTTATGATTTTTACGAGATTATTGCGCGTCCAGTTTTTTCTGCTACCCGGCAGCTTGTGTGCAATTAATGTGTGACATGTTTATCGTATCCTAATGTGCTCGTATGAATTATGCTCTTCATGAAAGTTATAGGTATGTTTCTTGTCTTTCAAATGAGATAAATTTCATGTTGATATGTGCTCTGTAGCTCGAGTTGTGCTCTTATGAAGGTAGACATGCATGAGATAAAGTTTTGTACCTGGACAGAAATCTGAGGCTGATTGTTAACTGATTTTACATTATCTTAATGACCTTATATTCTTCTATGTTCTCAATGAAAGTCATAGAGGATTTAGTTAGGGATATTTTCCAAGTAGTTTCAACATGATATGATTTGTAGACGGAAAGCTACATGAATTTTAAATTCATCGCGCATGCTAAAAATTGGTGCAAGTTCATGTTTAGGTTTCTAAATTGAGTTGTATTGTTTAAAAGCATGTTTATGTGGCATAACCGAACTATGTCATGCTATATGATGTTTATATGATCCTTCAATATCTTAAGCGTTAAAAGTTAAGCAAGCAAAGATATCCACCAACCGAAAAGACATATTCAACGTTTTCAAAGCAAGGCGAGCAAGGCAAAGCCAAGCGAACTAGTTTTCAAAGCTTATGTATATGTATAAGACTAGTGTGTTTAAGTTAAGCCTTGATAAGATTCTAAGACTTGTCCCAACGAATTATAGTTTTCGAGGAGTCGAGCCTCACTCTTTTTCAAGTGCAAGCTAAAGCCGAGCATTTCGATCAGGTGGTTTACTTATAAAATTTTCTATGCCTTGAATTGTGAAATTTGTTTACTTACTTGGGTATGATCAAAGTATGAAATGTGAATATTTAACTCTCGGCGTGAGCCCTACCGACCGTCGAACGATATCCCCGTAGTTATAGAACGTACTCCGAGTGGGTAATCTCCTCTTTGTCCTTCGCGAGGACCTTGGCATGAGCCTTGGTCGGTGATGGATTTCCTGCCTAAAACTCTTGGGGTTGGTAGACTTGTCTAATACCCTCGGGGTTGACAGTGGATTTCCTTCTAAAACCCTCAGGGTTGACGGATGACTCTCCTACTTTGACAACGTTAGAGTTTCCGCGGGGAGACTATCTGTGGACCAAATATAGTCTATTCTGATAGGTGTGCACATGAGATATAATCGACTCTGGATAGGAGATGGGAAAATTTATTGTCTATGTTCATACTTGTGACCATGCCATATTTACTATTTGTACTCACTTATTCTAATTGTTCATGCGCATAGCGGTGAGCACAACGGATTCCATTTGTGCTCATCCCCACCTGCTCTTCATGGATGCAGGTTGAGCCGGCGGCCGCATAGCGGCGAGAGATGAGTGGTGGTCGGTCGTTTGACTGGACCTCATTATGTAGCTTCTGCTTTGCTATATATTATGATCATTTTTGTCTTTTTTTTTTCCCAAAACGATAGATGATATTATATAACTCACAAAGCGAACATAGTTCGAATACAAAGAGAAACAATCCGAAACCATAAACTGAGAGACCTGCAAAAAGCTGGTCTAGAACCTCTAGAAAAATCAAACCCGCAAGAGAAGAAAAGAAAAAAGAACAATCCCCACCACTGCTAAAAGCCTAGCAAGAGATCGAACTAAATAACAAAAGAGACAAGAAGCCAAAAGAAAAACAAAACTAACTAAGGCAAAGAAGAAGAGGCAAAACAGAAATCAGACCACTCTGACCAAGCAATCTGAGGAAGTTTATACTCCGGAATCAAAGACTTCTGAAAGATCCATAAGTTTCTCGACTTCCAAAGCCACCAAAGCATGTAGGTAGTGAGTTGAATGCGAGCTTCAGCTACTTCAGAACAGTCAAGAGTACACAGCTGATACCACCAAGATTTAAAGGACTGAGTGAAGTTCTGTAATCCATCCCAGCAAACTTGACTGAATTTCCAAACATTAACAGCTCTTCTGCAAGTAAAAAAGATGTGCTCCAGAGTCTCAGCTTCCTCTCCACAAATAGAGCAAGTAGGGTCAACTTCAAGACCCCTCTTCTTAAGGTTCACAGCCACTGAGATGGAACCAGTGATACATCTCCACAGAAACAATTTGATCTTTCTTGGAGTTTTAACCTTCCACATCCTGAGCTTAGTAGATTGTTTGATGGAAGAGCTGCTGCTGCACTCAGGGAGATCAGTCAATAAAGCCTTGGTTCTGCAAAGATGCTTATAAGTACCAGAAACCGAGTAATTCCCTTTTTGATCAAGACCCCAGTAAACTCTATCAGCTCTGAGAGGATTAAGAGATGAGATATTGAGAATAGCTTGACTGTCAGTGCTATTAAAAACTTGCTTCACTAACCATTCATTCCAGTGAAATCCATCACTATGCATAAGATCAGCAACCCAAATGAGGTGATTCCTTGCAATGGGAAGGAGAGAAGGGAGAGGCTTACCCAAGTTAGGAACCCAATTCAGATCATCAATTCTGGTGCTTACTCCATTTCTGATTTCAATTTTTAGCCACTTTGCAAAGAAAGGCATCATGGCCATCCAGCAATTCCACATCCAAGAACCACCTTGAGATTTAGTAGCATGCACAATAGAAGAATGAAGAAAATACCTATCCTTAAGAAGTTTACTGATAAGAAGATCTGGATTTGATACAATCCTCCACAATTGCTTACAAATCAGAGCTTTGTTAAAAAGCTGAAGATCATGGAAATCCAGGCCATTGAAATCTCTGGGAAGAGTAAGTAAACTCCATCTTTTCCAGTGAATTCCTCGAGATTTCGCAGAGTTAGATTGCCACCAAAATTGAGCACAGAGAGAAGCAATTTCCACACAGATAGAAGCAGGCAAAGTAAAACAGGACATAGTATAAACAGGGAGGGCTTGGATGACAGCTTTTAAAAGCACTTCTTTCCCTGCAGGACTTAGCAATTTAGATTTCCAACTGGTAAGTTTATTCTTCACAGAGATCAGCAAATATTCAAAAACCTCCCTTTTGGATTTACCAATACCAAGAGGAAGCCCAAGATATCTAGTGGATTTGTGGGCAGTGATCCCATTCAAAGTTCTACAGATAGCAGATTGAAGATTTTGAGGAGTATTCCTACTAAAAAAGATAGCAGATTTTTGAAGATTTACAGCCTGACCTGAAAAGAGCCTATACTGCTCCAAAATATTCATAAGGACTCCAGCCTAATCCACACCAGCTTTATAGAAAAAGAGGGAATCGTCTGCAAATAAAAGATGAGAGAGCAAAGGGCCATTCCTAGACAGCTTCATTCCTCGAAGGCTACCAGATTCAGTAGCTTTAATAATAAGCACAGAAAGCAGTTCAGCCACTATTATAAACAAATAGGGGGACAAAGGGTCCCCCTGTCTTATACCACGAGAAGGGGAAACAAAACCAGAAGTAGTGCCATTGACCTTGAAGGAGAAAGAAGTGGAAGAAATGCATGCCATAATAAGCTTGACAAAATCCAGATGAAACCCCATTTGAATCATGATTCTTTTCAGACAATCCCATTCCACACGATCAAAAGCTTTAACTAGGTCCAATTTCAAAGCCATAAAGCAATTTGGACCTGAAGAATGTCTGTTAAGGAAATGAAAGGCCTCCTGTGCTATGATCACATTGTCAGTAATATGCCTGCCCTCAATAAATGCAGCCTGATGCTCACTTATGCAGAATTTGAGACAGCTTTTAAGTCTTTGAGCCAGCAACTTAGAAATAATCTTGTAGAGCACACTACACAGGCTTATGGGCCTAAATTGACTCAAAGACTAAGGGAAATCACATTTGGGAATTAAAGACACTAATGTATGATTCCAGTATTTAAGGATCATACCAGATTGGAAAAAGCTTGAGACTGCCCTCAGAACATCTGCCTTAATCAGGTCCATGGAATGTTGATAGAATCTAGCTGTCATGCCATCCTCCCCTGGAGATTTGTTAGGCTCAAGACTGAATAAAACACCTCTGATCTCAGCCTCATCCACTTGTCTGAGAAGGGATTGATTCATCTCATCTGAGATACAAGGAGAAATGAGAGGGAGTAAAGTGTCACCTCCCCAGCTGCCCTCAGTAGAGAAAAGGGATTTGTAGAAATCTGATATATGAGATTCAATTTCCTTCTGAGATGAAAACACAGTGCCCTGGGAGGATACTAATCTTGTTATGGCATTGAGCTTCCTTCTTTGCAGGGTGTATGCATGAAAAAACCGGGTGTTAGCATCTCCTTCCCTTAGCCACTTGTGCTTTGCCTTTTGTTGCCAGTAGAGCTCTTCCTGGAAATGAGCTTTATTCAACTCCCTTTTAGTATTGATCCATTCTTCCCATTTATCCCCAGTTTTAATTTCATTCAGAGTCTCCAGTTTTTTAGTAAGCTCTTCCATTTGTTGTTGGTGCTGAGTTTGAAAAGTGGAACTCCAGATGAGCAAAGCTATCCTGGTATTTTTGATTTTCTCCTTAATTTGGAAGAAAGGAGTGCCTTCCACAGGGATTTGCCAAGCTCTAGCCACCACCTCAGAATATCCATCTTTATGTAACCATCTTTTGTCAAAATGGAAAGAAGTTTTCCTTCTTTGCCTTTTAAGCCCTATATCCAGAAGAAGAACTCAGTGGTCTGAAGCACTTCTGATAACATTGTGCACAGTAGCATTTGGGTAAGCCTGAGACCAATTAAAAGAGCCAAAAGCTCTGTCCAACTTCTCCTCCACCAGGTCAGGAGCTGCTCGGTTGTTGCACCAAGTGAATGGATATCCTTCAAATTTAATCTCAGACATTTCCATGGCATTGATGAAATTCTGGAAGCCAAGAAAGCTATTTTCATTTCTGAGAAGGCCTCCAGCCTTATCACTCGCAGAGATAATATCATTCCAATCCCCCAGAGAGAACCAAGTGTGACCCCAAGACTGTTTGTCAATAATTAGCTCCTCCCTTTGGTTCTCTCTGATTGTTCTGCAAGGGTTACAATAAACAAAAACTCCCCATTGAGGGGCCTCAGAATTAATCTGAAAGAGAATAGCTATATAGAAATCCCTACACTTAACATTATGAACTATAACATTAGAAGCCCAACAAAGAACCAAACCACCACTAAGACCCACAGGATCTACCAAAGCTAATCTATTATCAAAACCCAATTTATTACAAACAGATTTAACAAAGGCTTTTGGTTTTTTAGTTTCAGACAAGAACATAAAATTTGGGTGGTGAGTTTTTAATAACTCTCTGATTTGGGAAATTGTAGAGGGCCCACCCAGCCCTCTACAATTCCACACCATAGCTAACATTTATCAGGTTGGTGCCACTCCAGGCTGGCAGCCCCCACCATTTCAGACTTGGACTTGTATTTTTTAGAATGCACCTGAGTGATTAGAAGATCATCAGATGATGGATCTTCTGGGATACTGTCATCTCTAGCTCTTTTCCCCATCCATAACTCATGATTGGGAGTTGTTGGCTCAGAAGCTCTCTGCAATCTGCCCTTGCTACTACCCACTTTTTTCCATGTTTTAAGTGAAGGGATATTGGGAGCCATTTGCAATTCCTGTAGAGGAGCTGATACTTCATTAGAGATAGCATTCTCCACTTTCATACCTGCAGATTCTACAATTTGGAGGTTGTTCTCCATTATGACAGCTTCCTCACGCAGAGATTGAGAAGCAGAGATGGGAGAAGTAGCTACAACTGATTTAGCTGGAGAGAGAGTGGCATTATGGCTTTGAATAATCTGATTACTGCTAGAAGGAATACTTGATGAGATATCTTGAGCTGCAGTAGTATGTTCAGCCGTTGAAGGAGACTCCCTAGGAGGAGAGGATCTTGTATCCGAGAAATTTCCAGCCGACCACCTTTGTACATCAGCCGCCTTCAACCAATCACAATACTGTCCCTCCTTCATAGAACTATTAGCAACATCCTCCATTTTCCTAGCACAATTGTGGTCCAAATGACCTATCTTCCCACAGTAGTGGCAGAGGTTCAACAGCTTTTCATATTTGAACATCACATTAGCTATTTGGTCTCCCAATCTGATGTGAAGAACTCTGGGAATGGGCTCTTCAATATCCAAAGTAACTAGCAACCGCAGAAGTTTCCCTCCATGATTGCCAATAGACGCCACCACAACATTCTTGAGGCTCTTAAAGGCTTTACCAATCCTGAACCCCACCTCCGAGCTAACCCAATTTAAGGGAATATTATGAATTTGCACCCATAGAGTGAGCTCTCTGAAACTTTGATGTTTACTGGAGATACCATTAGACCATTCCCTGAGAATCAGGTATTGGTTTTCGAAGCTCCAATTGCTACCAGCAGAGACACGTTTTTTGTCTTCAACATCTTGAAATATGAATTGGAAATAATTAGGACTAAGCTCCTTTACCTCCATGGGTTGATTTAGCTTCCATATCTGAGACATTGCACGTCTGATTCCAATCCAGCTAGTTGGACGATCTCTAATCACCTTTCCAAATAGACTCCTCTGACATTCATCATCGCTGAGTTTTATGTCATCTTGCGCTATATCTACTACTTTCGCTTCCCAATCAGACAGTGAGAAAGCATGTAAACGGTCTGATAAATCATCGCCTTGACTGTTACGAGTGGCGTCGGCCATTATTGGAAACCCTAATAATGGATTAGAGCAAAGCAAGGAAGAAAAGAAACAGCCAGAAAGCTAAAATCACAAATGGAATGAAAATGGGGAAATCACGGCAACGGGAAACACATCAATAAGATCGGAAAATCGAATCGCTCTCATGGGAGAGAATCGAATCGCTCTCATGGGAGAGAATTTTCATTGGTTATGATCATTTTTGTCATCATGTTGAACTCAGGATTTATGTTGCATTTAAACCTTGGTTTTATTTGCATGATTTTGACTCTGGAATATTTATGATTTGAGAAATTCAAACACTGGTTTGGAGAGATGCCCCATTTGCTAATAATCAATTTCGGAACTTTGTTTAAAACCATGTGAGGGTGGTTTCGATTTGACTCTAGATATTCGATGATGTTTAAATTACTTGTGGGTAATTAATATATGAAAATTCGTAAATGTTGATTATATGTCAAGTACCAAGCAATTTATGAAAAGAATTTCTAAAAATTTCCGTTGACTTTTTGAAAAGTCCTTGACTTTCGTCAAATAAAAGTGGGGCGTTACAGTTGTCCCCGTCGTGTTACGGTACGATTGCCCTTGCGAGGCAAGTCTCCTTAGGTCATGATATGGCCGTGCCTTTGTGAGGTACGTAAGCCCATATGGAAGGCCGTGTCCGTTACAGTAGCACGTACTCCCTCCTTTGGGTAATGAATCCCCATTTTGTGACTAGCGATAGATGTGCACAGGAGTAAGGTTATTTGTGGTGATAGGAGATGAGACATGTTATATTTTGTATTCATGCTGCGACCATACCATCTTAACATGTTATTATTGTATATGTGCATAGTGGTGAGCACTACGTTTTATTTTGTGCTCACTCTCACCTGCTCTTCAAGGATGCAGGTTAAGCAGGTGCCGGGTGACGAGGAAAGGATGAGTGGGTTAGTCTATTTATCATACTTTATTTATGCTTCCGCTTTTTTGAATAATTGCATGGTCTTATTGAACCTTGTTTTTTGTTAAGATATAATGAAATGTTTTTGAAACTGAGGTTTTTGAGATTGTTGGATTTGGAGTATTTGATGAACCTATTTTGGATTGGTTATCATATTGTCTTGTTTATTCATGCTATTGTGTTTTGAGCTGGATAACATGTAAGTTATGTTGTGATTCGGTTAATGAGAACCATGTGAACTGGGTAATGAATCCCCGTGTGACCAGATATGGCTTGGTCAAGGTAAATGTTTTGAAAAATGCCAATGTTTTCGAAAATGAGTTCGGAAAATTGTTTACTGGTTATTGGAAAGCCCTGGATTTCTTTAAAATCAAAGTGAGCTGTTACAGTTTGGTATCAGAGCCAGTCTGCATTTCTGTAGACTTGTCCATATGTGAATTACATGTTATGTGATTATGTGATTTTGACCTTGTGTTTGACCACTCATCTTCGTCACGCCGCACTGCTTAAGGTATGCTTTATAAGTATCAATGAAAATACTTATATTGTGAATTGTGTAATCTTGTAGCAATGACACTACTTGAAATGTAACTTGTTTTTAATTTTGGGGCTTAGGAATCTACCCAACTTGATAAGTTGAACTCTAGAGTTTGATGATGAACCCTAGATTTCCTTATAACTATGCTAAACTTTTCAGCCCATTTTCAATGTAGACCTATGGCTCGTCAAACCCGCAACAGCCAGTAGAATCAATAGCTACCCCCACCTCCACCTCCACCTCCACCTTCACCCCATCAGCAGGCTCCCAACCAAGTAGATGATCATCTCAACATTGTCCTTCAGTTTCAGTGGTTGATCCCACCGGCTTTCACCGGTGTTGAGGGCCCCAAAGTTATGTCCGAGTGGATTCTCAAGCTCGAGCGAATCTTTGATCTCCTTCGGTGCTCCAACAATCAGAAAGTACTATGTGGCCGTTACCATCTTGATGGTGATGCCGCACTGTGGTGGGATGATTACTGGAGGCTGAGGCCGGGTGAGCTGGCTAACCTCACTTGGGATGGATTGAAGCATGTGGTACTCGAGAAGTACTACCCACATAGTTACCGTGCTAGGATGGAGCATGAATTTGAGAATCTCCGCCAGGAGACCCGATATGTGGAGGAGTATGAGCGGGAGTTCACCCGCATGAGCGCCTTTGCTCGTCATATGCTGGATACCGAACTGAAGAAGGCCACCAAGTTCCGTGATGGTCTTCACCCCACTCTATGCATGCATCTTACAAGCCAGGGAAACCTTCCCTATGGAGAGACTGTTATCAATGTTGTTCAGCTAGAGAGTTGTCGGGCTCTCCATATCCCTACTTCTTCTACTCAGCGAGTTCACCCTATTTCCTCAGTACCGCCCAACTCTAGCTCAGGCAAGAGGAAGGAAGATTCCCACCGGGATAAGGGAAAGCGAGAAGGTTCAGACCGACGCAATCATTCCTCTTCTGACAAGCGATCTGCAACAAATGCGGCAGATTGCACAGCTGTGAGTGTCTAGCCGATCAGCGTACGCGTTACAACTGAAACCGCCTCGGCCACTATGCTAATGTTTGTCACGAGCCCAAGAGGCAGCAGCAACAGCCTTTCCCCCACCAGAACAAGCAGCAGCTTCCCCTACCGCCACCTCAGCAGCAGCAGCAGCAGCAGCCCAGACAGCCCCCACCTTATCAATAGCGGGCAGGAGGCCAGACCCGCGTCTATACTATTACCCATGATGAGACAACCAACAACGCAGGTACCATGTCTAGAATGATCTCTTTATCTAATGTACCAGTATATGCTTTATGTGGTACCGGAGCCACCCACTCCTTCATTTCTTCTCGATGTCTCGAGGCTCTGTCTCTTAGTAATGTGTACAAGGTTGACCCCCTCGAGGTTAGTCTAGCCTCGAGGAAAGTTATTATCTCTGATTCCTTGATCTGTGGCCTTCAAGTTAGTATTAGTAGGCGATTTATGAAGGCTAACACCTATGCTATTGAAATGAGATACTT